ACCGGGGGCCCGCTGAGTCATCCCGCAGGTGCAGGAAATGCTCGCGCCGCCAGGCTCTCTCCACCTTTTCCCTCTCGCCCTGCGCCTCCCCTGGGGACGCGGCTCCCTGCCCGCCCAGTGGCTGCGGCGGTGATCGAGCGCAGGTGAGTGGTAGGGCGGGGAGTAATAAAGTGCTGTTAACTGCTCGGCTTCTAGCATCCGCCCACCTCCCAGCGCGGCTACAGTGCCGCTGGGGGCAATGCTAGCCCGCCAGGCTCTCTCCACCTTTTCCCTCTCGCCCTGCGCCTCCCCTGGGGACGCGGCTCCCTGCCCGCCCAGTGGCTGCGGCGGTGATCGAGCGCAGGTGAGTGGTAGGGCGGGGAGTAATAAAGTGCTGTTAACTGCTCGGCTTCTAGCATCCGCCCACCTCCCAGCGCGGCTACAGTGCCGCTGGGGGCAATGCTAGCGGCGTCAGGGGGCCAGCGGTAGCCCCGGGAGAAGAGCTGGGCAAAAAGTTTTCAGACACAACCCTCCCGCGCCCGCACACACACACTGAAAAATGCAGCTGGAGGTTGACCAAGTTGTAGCTTCCATGCGAAGAAGAAAACGTAATAGTAAAGCAGAGCCTCGATGGTCTGTGGCGACCTTCTCAAAATGACACTTGATGGCGTTCCCTTTCCAAATGACTTTTGCTCTCGAATGTGACTTCCATTTTATGGAAACAGCTAAAAAAAAAAAAAACCCAAAACCCCTCAACGGCCTTGAAAACTAAACACACGTTTTGTGTCAGGTAAATCAAACCATTTTGGTTGGCCCCAAATGCAATTCTTTTTGTAACATTTTGTTTTGGTTAAACATTTTAATTTTAAAAACGAGCAGTTCTGTGGCACCTTAGAGACTGAAAACATAATAGAGAGAAGCCATGAGCTTTTGTGGGTAAAAAAGCTCATTATTCTCTCTATGTTTTGTCTTGGTCTCTAAGGTGCCACAGGACTACTGGTTGTTTTTAAAGTTACAGACTAACAAGGCTACCTCTGAGGCATTTTCATTTTATGTCAACCTAACAAATACCTTTTTTAAAAAAATTTGGTTACCAAACTGAAAAATCAATTTTTCATACAGGTCTAGTCACATCCTCTTCATTTGAGCAGGCTTGGATGCTTAAAACTCTGGCAGGAGCTCCAAGTCTTTGTGCTCTCTCATCCCTATTACACCCACTCATGGAGCTGAAACTTGGTGATAATGGTAGGAAAGTTTAGCAATATAATCCTAGTACAGACAGGGCTTTAGGAAGTAAGGAATCCAAATGAAATGAGGTCTGAGTATTTTGCTCTACTACAGTGGTTTTCAATCCCCAAATCTCACACTTAGGAAACATTAATGAATTAAGCCTCATAGAACCTTGGAGGGGGAGGTATTATCCATGTTTTACAAACATGAGTAAAATTTCCCTTATGTGAGTAAATCATTGACTTGTATCCTGTAAAAGAGTCAGGGTCCAAGAAATTGAAGCACTTATCACTGACAGAAGTGGGAAAAGAATTGCTCAATTGCTTTCTCATGCCCTTTATCCTTTTTGTCTAGATAGAGTGCAAAGTGAGATAACATGGCGCTGCTTATATACCAGCTTCCAGTTTGTTTCAGGCAATGCTGCCCTACAACAAACAAACAGATCTGAGGAATAAAAGTGTGCTGGCTTGTGTGTTCTATTGTTTTCTTCAGAAGTGTACTCTGTCCTACCCTCCTGCTGCATTCTTAGTGCCCGTCACTGTTAGGGACTGATGCTGGGACTATCTGCTGCAGGATTACCATAGATCCACCTCTCCGCATATCAGTGTGAACTACGCTCAAAAGGATTGTGGATCTCTTGTTTTTATTCTGGGTAATAGTGTGCTCTGTCCAAGTATTCAGGCATTACTATAATTACAACTATTGTAGTTACTGCTATTACTTCCAGTTATACTTCTGTGTGTTACATTAAATAATTCATTTACACTTTTCAAAGTGCATTGTGGTCATTTGAATAATAATACAATCAGAGCAATAACTAGAAGGAACAAGGTTAAATTAAGAAAAGGTAAATGTAGGTCAAAGCTCAGAAAAAAATGTCAACAGGAACATTTGAATATGTGAAGCATCTCCTAAGTAAAGTGTTTCTTGGAACATTTAAAACTAGGCAGACAAACTAATGGAAAATAGTGATTGGAAAATATACATTGGAAAATAATACTGCACTGGCGGGGTGATGGACTGGATCTGGATGACCAAATAGGTCTTCTCCATCTCTAACTTTGCAATGGGAATTAAGAGGGAATATTGTGCCTTACCTAAGGAATATGGAACCTTAGTTCACATCCCTGTAAAGGATCAGTATATGTATTGTCCTGTCCTCTAATGGCCAGCTCCCATATTCTTGAAAGCTGCACAAAATGAGGTTTTGACCCCATTAAAGTCAACTGCAGTTTTGCATATTTAGAATCAGGGAGTATTAGAGGTTTTGGCCATTTTGAATTGTGTTTGTTTTCTTTAACTCTTTATCGCAATCAAAAGAAATGCCATAATATAGTCCAAGATGCTTCATGACCAAGTGTATTTAATTAGTTATGTAATTAGAAAAATTGCAAAACACAATTATCTTGAATTAGACTCTTCCTGACAAAGCATAATAAACATTCATTTGAGACTTAAAATGTTCTGGCTTTCTAATGCTGTTAGGATAATCAATAAATTTTTAATTAACTTATCTCTTTGGCATTCATTTCAATAAAAATGAAGAATTATTGTACAGAGGTTTCAGTAACAGAAATAGTCATTGGGATATGGGGAGCCACTGAACATGCCTATAACAGCTGATGTCCCTAAGCCAGCTTCTCCTAGATGCCCCTTAAATAGCTTGCACCCAGCTCTGCCAACCCTGACAGTAAATCCTCTCAAAATAAAGGAAGACTTTCAAGAACACAAAGTCTGCACTACCATATCCCTTTCATTCTCCCAGGCATGCCTCCTGGACCAGAGCTCCATCTCATTCTCCCTGATCTGGAGAAGTCAGGCAATGAAGTAATTCTCTTCTTGCCATTTACTCGGGTTTGTCTGTAGTGGTTAGCGAAGACACTACCTATGCCGACAGCAGAGCGTCTTCCAGTCACATAGGTACTCCTCCTCAATGAAAGGCAATAGCTATGCCAACAGGAGAAGTCCTCTTATTGACATGGTGCTACTGTCTATGTTGTCAATTAGATCGGTATAACTATAAAACTTAGAAGTGTGGCAGTGTAGTATAGTCTCTCTTATGAGGGAACTGACAGATCATATGCTGGTCTTCTTCCCAGAACGCATTTTTGGTTGTCTGAGAAAGAGGTGCCCTGCACTATACTACAAGACTCCTGGTCCTGGGCCCAAAGGAGAATAGTAGCCTGGAGATACCATTTTTTCAAAAGTTAACTGTTACTCCACTTTAAGCTCTCTCATCAACTGCCTCTATCTTTCCTCAGGTCTTCTGTCATCTCCGGAATTCTTTGAATGAGGTCATCTGACCCCTGAGACTTCATCTTCTAGCCTCAAAACCGTGCCAATGCCTTTTTGTATCCTTTATTACTAAGACTTTAAAAGACGTCCGGTAGGGTGTGTGGGGGAGGAGGGGGTTAGCAATACGTCTTCCATGAAAGTCAAGGGTTTGCTTTGAAAATCTCAGGCTTTGTCTAGACTGGCCAGTTTTTCCTGGAAAAATCAGCTGCTTTTCTGGAAAAACTTGCCAGCTGTCTACACTGGCCACTTGAATTTCCGCAAAAGCACTGACTTCCTACTGTAAGGAATCAGTGCTTCTTGCGGAAATACTATTCTGCTCCCGTTCAGGCAAAAGTCCCTTTTGCGCAAAAGGGCCAGTATAGACAGTTCAGATTTGTTTTGAGCAAAAAAGCCCCGATCGTGAAAATGGCGATCGGGGCTTTTCTGCGGAAAAGCGTGTTTAGATTGGCACAGACGCTTTTCTGCAAGAAGTGCTTTTGCGGAAAAGCGTCCGTGCCAATCTAGACTCTCTGTTCCGTTAAAAGCATTTCTGGAAAACCATGCCAGTCTAGACACAGCCTCAATATATATGTCTTAACACTGAAACAAAACCACAATGTTCTCTGTCCCTGTCTATACTAGACCCAGCAGGTTGCTTAAAGGATGCAAGTCCAGGTATCTAAATAATGTCACGAGAGTCAATATACAGGGCATCCCTGCTATAAGTCGCCCTGGTACATATCCATTCCGCACTAAAGTTGTTGACGCTTGCAGGAACTGATGCATTATAAGTCCTCCCATTCCCCCCTCTTAAGTCATGCAAAAAAAACCCCACCCCAATTTGTGCAAATGGAAGTCAGACATGGGGAAAAAAATTCCCCGCTTTAAGTTGTTTCACTATAAGTCCAAGTTTTTCCAATGTATCTTGGACTTATAGTGAGGCTGGCCTGTACCTCAAACGAAGCTTGGTGCTGTCTCCACAGTGGGAGGTTGATGGGAGTAAATGCTTCTAGCTGCTTCCCTTACTTCTCATGAGGAGTAGGAGTACCAGCACCAACTAGGGGCAGCCTCAGCATTCAATTTAGCGGGTCCTTACTAGGCCAGCTAAATCAAATGCCAGAAGAGTGATCTCCAGCACAGCCAGTGGAGACATGGCCTCTATGACTGTTGTTCTAAGTCTTTTGAGATGGCCACTTTTTCCTCATCTGATCATTGGGTGGGATTCCATTTTTTTAAATTATTTTATTTGTTGTGCTTTTGAAAATTATCTAGTCACAGCACTGCCTAGAGAGAATTGTGGATTTGTAATATATACAGAAAATATCCCTTAGGGACTAAGCTGAAAATGAGGTTATAAAATGCCATCCATCCTAATTGAGTTGGGGTTATTCACACATTTTGTTTCATCTTTATAGTTTCAAGTTATCTTATTGACTCATATGCCTTTGAAATAATTGCAAATATGTTCTCTCTCTTCATACTTCTTTGTCACACCATCTGAACTAAGCAGCAAATGAATGGCCAGATTGCCTCCCGCCCATCATGAGTGGGACCAGAAAACGCTCTGTGCTATTAGTTCTTTAACATTTCAGACTAAGACATCCCAAAGTACACTAGTGGGTTAGTGAGTTTCTATTAGTATTATTGGAATCTGAATTATTGCTCTTTCACATAAGAATTTGGAATTTTAATAGCTGCAAATTATTTTGCAGCTAATACTGTCATTTGGTAATTTTTAAGAATCACTGGATCTGTCATACTGAAAGGGGCAAAACTAATCTAAATACATTTAAAAGTCATATGAATTGCTTTGGACACAACATAACCGTACCAAAATAAGAGGAACAATGCATATGCTGTGATATCCATGAATTGCCATAGCTAATGGACCTGGCAACTCTTCAGTTATATTTGTCATTTTAACACCCTAGGAAGAGTATGTCCTTATGACCCCTCAGGGAAATTAAAACTCTTATAGCTCTCACTGACTGTCTGGCCCTCTCTTATCCAAACAATTTTGTCATTGTACTATTGTTCATTCCCTTACATTCCAGGATTACACTCTGAAGCGGTTATGATCCTCAGTGATGTTAGTTCATTGTGTTTTTTTTAACTACATGCAAATTTTACAATGACAAATCATTAGTAGCCTTGAATTTAAAAAAAATCCTGGAATCAGTAACTGTCATGATAGCTGTAATAAAAAATCCAAAAATACAATGGGAATGGAGGGTTTTGTTTGGGTTTCTTGAATGTTTCATGTGACATTTCATATGTACATTTATTTAAAAGATTGCAAGGGCCATTTGTGCCTTTGAAAATCTCAGTTAGGTATAGAGAAGTAAAATCTAGTTGATTAACCAATAAGCAAAAGCTTATAGGCTAATACTATAGATTACACGCATTTCTCCCCCTTCCCCCAGTAAATTTTTTAGCAGGCTGGCCAGCAGCATGGCTCAGTCCCAGGTTGTGCTGGGTCCAGGACCTACCCCTGCTGCAGCTCTGCATTTAAAGCTACACAATTTGCGTAGCTCAAATTGTATATCTTATTTCGAGCTAAGGATAGCAGTGTAGATGCACCCTGAGAGACCGGGGGTGGGGGAGAAATCACGTGAATAATGTGAGGCTACGTCTACACTGGCCCCTTTTCCAGAAGGGGCATGTAAATTTCACGAGTTGTCGTAGGGAAATCCGCGGGGGATTTAAATATCCCCCGCGGCATTTAAATAAAAATGTCCGCCGCTTTTTTCCGGCTTTTAAAAAAGACTGGCCTGGATCCTCCGGAAAAAGTGCACTTATTCAAAGTAATGAAGTAGGAAGTAGGAATAAGACCCTCCAGAAAAGGGCGCTTTTTCCGGAGGATCGGGGCCAGTGTAGACGCTCTTTTCCGGCTTTTTTAAAAGCCGGAAAAAAGCGGCGGACATTTTTATTTAAATGCTGCGGGGGATATTTAAATCCCCCGCGGATTTCCCTACGACGACTCGTGAAATTTACATGCCCCTTCCGGAAAAGGGGCCAGTGTAGACGTAGCCTGAATGTATTGCCATAAACATTAGGATTTTAACTATTACTGTATTTTAGTGCATATAAGCCGCAGGTTATATGCGTTTTTACAAACCCCGCAAATCCCCTCCCCTCCTGTGGTTTACTCAGGTGTGGAGTATACAATTGTTTTTACTCACCTGGTGAGTTCCTGCTCAGCTGCCAGCCTCCGGGTGGGAGAGTGCTCACCCCCTGGTTCCTGCGCAGCCACAGGAACCACGGGGATGAGTGCTCCCCCACCCAGAGGCTGGAGGCTGGCAGCTGCACAGGAACCAGGGAGGTGAGTGCCTGCAGGAACCGGGGTGTTTAGACTGGCTAATCCCCGCCCCTCCTCGGCCCCTTCCCCAGGCACCGTAAATTATCTAATATACCCTGGCATAGTTTGAAAGAAAAGTCTTGTATACCCTGTGGGTTATACTAGTGTGCGGGGTATACAAGATTTTTTTTTACTCAATTCAGAAAAACTGTGGGGTATATTCGGGTGCGGGGTATATTTAGGTGTGGGATATATACGCTAAAATATGGTAATCCATCTCACAGAAATCTTATTTCTAAAAAAAATGTTTAACAAGACTTTCTTCGGGCAGTTAAGC